CACACACACACACACACACACACACACACACACACACACACACACACACACTATATTTTCTCTATTCTCTCTTTATGTCTTGCTCAACTTCTACCTTTCTTTTTGGATACCACATGGCCTGCTAAGAAAGGGCCCCGTGAATGGCACACATGCCCCAGTCTTTGTTGCTACAACAGGCAGAGCTTGCATTGACGGCCCTTCTATCTTTTAGCATATTAATAGAGTGGCGGTTCTGTGAGAGGGAAGGCAGAAGAGTGTGACTCCATTGTCCAGAGTCATCACCTCATTTCACCCGATTGAGAGACGCAGTATCCATCCTCTCTGCTGATACCAATTCATCGAGACAGGCCGGACAAAGACAGCGGCTGGACGTGGGGGACAGAGGAGGCTTGACAGGGTGAGAAAGATGAAGAGGGAGGGATGGACAGTGTGGCGACAAGACACCAGGGAGCAAACAAGGAGAAGGTGGTGGGCGTACCAAGAGGGGAGAGGGGTAGACATCTCTGCTGCACATCACTCTAAGTCTGCATCCAGACCCTTGTGAAGTTTTGGAAGAAGAAAAGAGTCGCCCTCCATTGACCCTCACCTCCTGCCTCTTATCCTACCCCCCTTCCTGCAAGTGTTTCTCTGTTCCTAGGCCACCTATGGGTTAGAGGAGTGGGCAATGGGGGCACTGAACAGCCTGCATATTAACATATTGCCATATTCAATTGCAAAGCAAACTGCGTGTGATGGCTTCGAAAGAGATTTTTCTTCCTTCTCTTTTTTATATCAGGATCAAAGAGGTTGGCCTTTTGATTGCTGCAAAGGAAGCTCCTCACTGCCTTTTTAACATGCACAGCCAGGCGCATTCTCATCTTGTGGGCTCAGTGTTGACAAATAAATGAACTTATTATACACCCCTGTGTTCGCAGCTGGGCCTCTGCCAAGGGGCGATTTATTAAAGGCTACCTCTAGCCAAGAGAAAAGCGAACACAAAGCCCCCCTGGCATTACATCACTGCTGTAAGACCGCAACTTTCTACGCAAGGGTGGGAGTACAAAGGCATACATGGATTTACTGTAAGTGTGCAGTGAGCAAAGTGACAGACACCTTATAGGCACATGCTTGAGACAATGCACCAACCTCTTTGTGTTCTTTGTTTTCTAGGATACACACAGAGCACAGATGTAGTTTTGTGCCAGAGCTGAGTGGTGGGCAGTGGGCAACAAGCTGATTTTTCACACTCAAGACAAGACAGGCCTGTAGCAGAACAAGGACGCACGCGTGCAGCCGATGCGTGCTGACACTCGGTCCTGGTGGCTGCTGCATGTGGGGGGAAGAATGGTTGTATTTTAGGAGGCCCTCATTGATATTCATGTTGAGGATAAACAGTGAAGGTAGCTAAGTGGGGACGCCTGCGATGGAAAGCTCCCTGTGAGCAGCGGCTGGCTGGCTGGCCTGGCCTGCGCGCCTCTCACCCCCTTCAATGGCCCTTTCTCCTGCCTTTGCCCCTTCGTCTCCATCCCTTCATGTTCCTGCCCCATGAAACTTCATCTTCAGGCTTCCAATCCAGTCTGTTGCCTTACGCTGCATACTCTATCTGGGTGGCTGTGATGCACAAGGTACACATTAAAGATGTGAATTAATTAAAGTTGGAAAGTTGGACCACCTCCAAGAGACGAACGAGAAAATAAGCCCAAACTCTTTCCCCCTCCCTCCGTGTTCGTTTTAGTGCTGTAAATCAGGGTCTTGTTTTCTACATGTATTGATTTGCTGCAGGAGAAGCGTAAAAACCCAAGACTCGTTGACCGATTAGGGTTATAAATAATAAACAAATATAATTATTAAACTGGCATGAGTTTGTTTCATTATTAATGCTCAACAAGATAAAATTAATTCTATGAGCTACAGACTAGAATTTGTGTGGCTTTAAGGTCTCAACTGGGGAAAAATACAGAGCAATTGATTAAAAAACAATAGCTTGAATAGCAAGTTTTCCTGTTCTGTTGCTTCTTGTGCCAAGCATTCTGGAGACTTTGAGTCACTCATTGCAACTCATTTGCCAATTTTTTTTTTTTTTTTTTTTTTTTTTTTAAATAAATCTTGCTCCATAACGTCATGATATGTCTCTTTAGGTTTTCTCTGCCACAGCTGCAGCCTTTGAGGTGTTAATGTCAGAGTTGAGAAGATGAAAATACCAAGCACTAAAATCACAGATAGCCTGGTTGGTTCTCATCGACTCCAAAATAAATACACAGAACACCCCAAAAAAAGGATTTTTAAACCTCATCGATGTGAGCAGCATCCAAAGATAACGCCTCTTTATATTTCTGGCGTGACTCAGCTGGTATCAGTATTTATAGTTTGGTGCTTGTTATACCAGCGAGACTGAAGGGAGAAACTCAGGACATGCCACTGGATGATTCACTCCACATCCCACATTTTTGAGCACAAACTCTCACAGTTCTTCCTGGTTCGTGCATTTTCACTGGAGCCAAGCCGGACATGAATCCTCACATCAGTGATAATTTGTTGGGAGGAGGTGGCTAATTTGTTAAGCTTCTGACTCATCAAACATAAATGAGCTTTTATGTAAACAAACACCAGTAAAGACCATTTCATTGACCACATCTGAGATGAATCATCTTCTGAACACGGAGAGGAGAGCCTGCAGGGATTCTTCGTGTATAGGAGCCACTAAGAGAGGAAGCTGCAAGGGGAACTCCTACATCTAAACCAAAGAAACTTGTGCGCTAAAATAAAACGAGTCAAAATCTGAGCGCCATGTAAATTTGACATATTTACCCACAGATTTCAAGTTACAGATTTTTGGGATCCGTGTAAAACTTGATCGACTGATGACAGCTTTAGATTTGCGGCTGTTGTGTTTACGGATGAGACTTTGAAGAGAATTCCAAAACTCTTTGAGGGAATGGAAAAAATAAAAATGTCAACATCATAATGTAGGTAAAGTATAAAAAAAAAAGGTCTGCTTCAGGTCTTGCAAAAGCTGCTTAAAACACAAGCACACACTAGGACTTTATATCATCCACCACCTTCCATCCCAGTATTTTGGACAAAATAATCGTCTTATGTTCAGAAACAACAGTTATAGCTATTTTGGTCAAAGCTTGAAAATCATGCCCAATCTCATGTTAGTGCTTGGAGCTTGTGTTGTAAATGACCCTCAGCTACAGCCACACCAAATCTTAACAGAATATTTGTAAAACTGTCTAAAATATAGCCATTTCTTGTTTTTTAAGGTCAGTTGGCTGCGGTGGCAAAGTTGCATAAAAATCCATCAAGTGGTTTATGAAATATTTTGCTAACAGACAGAGTTGATTCCAATAGACTATCATGGCTGGCTTTGCAGACCAAAGAAGCAACTATTACACTGTAAAAATATTCATAATGACACGGCTAATTCACGTTTAATAGTTTCGTGAGAAGTTTTTTTTTTCTGCCCATAATGAAGGAATATTTAAACGTGCTTAAAGAAACTTGTGTCAAATTGCAAAGACAAAAGAGAAAGTGAACCCACAAAGGCCTGACTGTTCTGATGTTTGTTAGCTGGTGAATCATTAGTTTGTCACAGGGAAACTAACCGGTTAATGATCAAGTTACGTCCCACGTATTTCAGACAAATCCTAAATCAGTAGTCAAATACTATTCAGAAGATTAAAGACTTCGTTTTTAAAATCATTCATTATTAAGATCCTAACTTGTAGCAAAATCTTCATTAGCCCCTTGAGTAAAACTGGCTCGTTCAAGGAGATCACCGTTGGCTCCGAGCCAGAGTTTTCCTTTGATCAACTCCTGTGACCATTGCCGCAAATCCAGGCATACCATTACTGAGAGGGCTGTTGGATCCTGCATTTAATACACTATAATCCCTGCCAATATGGCAAGAAGATGGAGCTCAATAACCCACACAGACAGGTTGTGGTGCATCTGTCTGCCCCATGCCCCCCATCCATTCTCCCACTTTAGCTCAATTGAATAAGAATGGAAGAGGAAGCTCTGAGTGCTTGGTGTCTGTGTGCAGGAATGGAGGTTGATAATCTCCCTTAATGAGCTTGTTTCTGGGCTATTATCTGGCGGCATGCCTGAGGGAAACGCCGGCGTTTCCTATCAAGTGGCCTTGCAGCGTTGACCCTCACGCGGCTCTGCATATGAAATGTGAGGGCCAGGCCTTTTGTTTGCTTTCTCCCAGTCTCTAGCTGAGGCCATTTGCATAGTCCTGAATGGGCCAACGAATGTTATTAATTAATACAGAGCCAGCCCGCGCCACCTGACAGAGTCCTACCGAGAGGCCCAAACGGAACTGTTTCATCAAAAGAGAGGAGGAATGAGAGACCTTATTCTCCACTTCTCTCGCTTGTTCCCTTGAAAACAGAGAGCCATGGTTTTATGCACGTTTTCTTTTCCTGTATATACTCAGTGGGTGGACTGAATGAATATGTACAAACAGGAAGCCCACAGGTGACCGTTGTGCACATGTAAATCCTCCTGCGAGATCTCCTCCTCCTGCTCTGTCTTCACCTTCTCAACTCTGCTCAGAGGATGTCTCGAGGAACATTCTCACCAGATAACCCAGAGATTTATGGCTGGGAACGACCCACAAATGGGGTTTCGAATTCCCTGAGATCTTCAGATGCACTAAATTGTTGACTCGCTCTGTTTTGCCCTCACATTCTGTTTGCCTGGATACAAGTCTGAGGTGAACACACACACACACAAATAGGATGACCTGCTGCTGATCTGGGGCTATCTCTAGAATGTCTCTCTCTTGATACACATTCGGAGGATGATTCCAGGAGTCTCGTAAATTCACTTCCACTGCCTCTCGTTGGAGCAATTAAGGACAAAGTGTGTGCTGAGGCTTTCACAATGTTGCTTTGGGGAGTTCAAAATGTAAAAAACTGAGATGTGCTAAAACAAAAGTAAAAAATAACCTTTTCCTCTTCAAACCTCTGCAGACGGGACATTAACTCCAAACTTTTAATTTACTCAAAACGTATAAACTAAAACCAGAAGTTAACGTTACTTGCCACCTCCTTCCCGCGTGTGTGGTGTGTGTGTGTGTGTGTGTGTGTGTGGGGCATTCTTGCTTCTGGCCCACAGAGAAAAGTAGAGGTTGTTGCTGGAGGTCACAGGGAAAGTGGAATGACTTCCAAATGACAATTTTCGTTTAAAGATGCCTGCTCATCTATAATTGTGTTCAATTCATTTGTAACATCATGAAGACTGGACCAAAAAAAAGAAGAAGAATGGTGCAAATCTGCACATTTTTTCTCATAACCATGGTTAACCATGGTTTGAGACTCTACTTCCCCAGGCAGCTGAGACGAGCTGGTCTGGGAAGCTCAGTCCTCACCTCCTTCTACAGGTGTGCAGTGGAGAGCATCCTGTGCTCCTGCATCAACGTGTGGCATGGAGGCTGCACAGCTGCAGAAAGAAAAGCTTTGCAGAGAGTGGTGAAGGCTGCACAGAAGACTGGAGTCAGCCTCCCCACCATCACAGACATCTACACCTCCAGATGTAGGAAGAGGGCCACCTGCATCATGAAGGACCCCACTCACCCAGCACACACTTTTTGCCCCGCTCCCCTAAGGAAGGAGATTAAGGAGCATTAAGTGTAGAACCACTAGACTGAGGAACAACTTCTACCCTGAGGCTGTTAAACTCGTGACACTAACGAGAATAATCACTGTTAAAAATCACATCATGCTGCTGATCTGTTTCATGTTGCTGCTGATCTGTTTCATGTTGCTGTGTTCATTTGTGCTCATCTGCTCACACAGACTCATTTTCGTGCTGCTGCTTGGCGTATTGTTTTTATGCTACTAGTGCTTAGTGTGTTTTAAGTTGATGTATTTCTTAGTTCACATCTTAGATCTTGTTACTGTTTTTCTTTTACAATTTATACTTTTGTTGGATGTAACTGGGACCCTGTGTACACAATTTCGTTCCACCACATGTACCACATGTGATGTGAATGACAAATAAAGAAGCTTGAATAAATTTATAAGCAAACTTTGTGACCGATGCACACCATGTTTGTTCACCTACAAAAACAGTTGAAGTGACTAAAAACAAAAGGTCAAATGTTAAACTTACCAGTCTAGCTGCCCTGCTCTTGACTGTAGTTTTACTCTATCTTTCTCTTCTTTTTTGTTTAGCAGCACATTCACTTTTATATTTCCTCCTAAACGCCCTCTCTGAGATTCTACGATTGTCCAATTCAGCCATTTTCTAAATGGTCAGTCAATCACGACCATTGCTAACCATTGCTCAGTGCTAACCACTGAGCCACAGCACGACGGTTAGCGCTGTTGCATCACAGCAAGAAGGTCCTGGGTTCAATCCCCGGTTGGACCTGGTGTCTTTCTGTATGGAGTTTCCATGTTCTTCTCATGCTTGTGTGGGTTTTCTCCAGGTACTCCAGTTTCCTCAAGAACATTCATGTTAGTCTGCCTTCAGGCCCAGGCCTCCCTTGCAAAAGAGATTTGTGATCTCAATGGGATTTGCCTGGTTAAATAAAGGTTAATAAATCACCTCAGTCAATGAAGTTTTTCATGGATTCATCAAAGTGCTTTGTTTACACTGAATGTGGACCCACGTTTCAGAAATGCACATACATTGATCTGACAAACTATCCTGATGCATGCTCAATAATCCAGGTAGAAAAATCTAAAAAAAACTTTGAAAAAAACAAAAAACTTTTTTTTTTTGTTTTTTTATGTCCAGAAGACCAGACTTAACTTTTTTTTTTTAGATCTGACAAACTGTAAACTCGTTTAAATGTCACCATTATACACAGTTTTTATGTTTGAGTTCATATTTTGCAACGAGTACCTTTATTTTCATCCAGTTTAAAGAAGAGGTGGCAAATACATGCTGCTGCAAATATAAAGCATGTTTTCTTTGACATCTCATACTAGTCAGTTTTTCTAAATAAAAATGCTCTTAGGAAAGAAAAAAAAGAAGCAGTTTAGTTAATTTTTTTTTGCTTATCAATTCTGTTTTCTTCAAGCTGGAGGTAGGATCTCAACATGGGAAAGATATCATGTCCTCCAGCTGTAGGGTGGGGAAGCTTAAGTTTAGGGCAGGGAAAAAAAAAGTAGGAAAGGAGGGTTGGTTAGGGAAAGAAATGTGAAAACATGACGTGCCTTAGAATAGTAGACTAACAATAAACTTTTCGGTTTTCTCAAACTCCCCTTGTCCTATCTGCATCCTCCAACCTCACAATCGTTTTGTATCAAGTTAAAAGCTCCCTGTCCCGCCTCTTACTGACCGAATGTTTGATCGCGAGGGAATAACTCACCTCAAGAGCAGAAAGACAACGAGACAATGGCCTGACCGCCTCTAACCATGTTCAGTTTTCTTTTCAATAGTGTGCAACATGGGAATGCCCTTCAACCAGAGTACGTCTGCTCTGAAGTGATACCGGACGCTCTGGGAGCCACTGATACACCTTTAAAACAGGACTACATGCTGGCCTGGAAGAAGACAGATGATGGATGTCGAGGTTAAGAGTCTAAAGGTGAAACGTCCTCAATGAAACTATTTTCCCATCACGACTAACCGTGACCGGCCCCATAACACATCTCAGAGCCGAACATTCGTGTTTCTGAGAGCACTGATAGCAAACAACACAACGATTAAGATGTTCGGCAATATGAGAAAGAACGCAGATGCAAGCTTTTATCGCTTGCTTGGTTTGATTAGACACTGATTGTTGTCGATTGCAATGTTGAAAAGGAAAAGAGATGACATCATGGCAACGTTTGACTCTGTGTGGACATCGCTTGTCCTGTTCATTCCGATGAACCCAGTTAGGTTTCATTTCATCCTACCTGTGGCACAGAGGGCGATGAAGGTCTGGACATGTTTCCGTATAAGTGCCAGCTTATCCTCGGGCAGTGGCAGCCTCCTCACAATGTGCTCAATGAAGTCGTTCGGCGTCACTGCTGCCAAGTTCCACTTCAACTTCCCCAAAACCACCAGTTCCCATTCCTGAAGAGGTTGAGCAAACACAGTAAAGAGCAGATGCAACAGCTGAAATAGAAAAAAAGTCAGTACTATGTTTTAGGTAGATTGCACAAAGCTGCTAAACTTTAAGTTTCTAAAAACGCATAAAAAAAAAAAAAAGGCATTGTTGCTTTTAGATCAGCATGTGCCTGGCCAGGCCTGGAGCAGAGAAACACCAACAGCGCCACCAACCCAGGTGACCTCACAGCACTCTCCTCCTCTGTCTGTCTGGCATCTGGGGACTTTCCTAAAGAGGCCCACCAGAGGTTCCACTGTGTGAGTGTGGAGTGAAAACAGATAGGAAGCCCATGTTTGTTGAGCAAGATCAGCAGTAAATGTTGAAAATCTCCTCATAAAAACACGTTTTCTTGCATCTCTAACTCTTCATTTTTAGAAATGATCCAAACCACATCATCTTCTGCTGACCAGTTACACTCCCATACTAAAGGCAGCTTTTAGATAATCAGTGAGCGTATAAAGTTTGGCATATAACGTATTGTAACTTTCTCTTCCTAAAGGAGGTGACTAATGTAGGGGAACATGTCTTGGTTTCATTCTGTCCTACAGCCTTACTTTGGATGCTCCTCCCCAACACATAGACTCAGCCATGAGGCAATTCAACATGGCTGCCCTTAGGTTTGCTAACAAACTGGCCTCATAAAACATGGTTTTTATTTCGATCTCCATTTGGTCAAAAATAGCTTTAAAACATCTAACATTTATATAAAAAAAAATCTAAAAGTTCAATAATGGATCATTGCTCTTTTGCATCTTTGTTGCCTCCTGATCGCAAAAAAGCATCGCTGTCGGTGCCACCAGGCAATATTCAGGCCTACTATACAGACCGAGAGTGGAACAAACCACACTATGCTGACAGAGTGGCAAGCAGGCACCCACTTCCTTCTGCTTCCGCCTTCCCTCTGGTCACACCTTCTTTGTAGAATTGCGGTTCGCTTTACAAGAAATTGTTACCAAAGATGAGCACCAAAAATGATCACATGCCCCGAGCAGCTGATCTCTGTTTCCTGTGTCTGCGTGTCAGCCAAAATGCTGCCTTATACAGGAACGCAGAGATGAGGCCTCAGCAAACCAGTTCAAGGACTGAGAGCTTTGTCTTCAGTCTGCACATTGAGTTTTTTTAAATAAAGTGTATAATTTCTTACTGCTTTTCCAGTTTAAAATGTCCACTCAAGGGAACCTTGATTACAAAAAGAGGATTTAGATCTGAGACCATATAAGCAAAAAAAAAAGCAAACAAAAAAAATAAAAAACAGTAACCATTTACAGAAAGTTCCCAGAAATCAACAGCAGCTCATCAGGATCTTGATTACCCTGCAATGATCAGCTAAGAGGGTTGAACCGGCAGTCTGCAGCCTTATAGCCATCAGCCTTGTCTGCATCATAATATGAAGCCTCTTTCACAACATGGGTGGGATTGGCTCTAGTTTACTGAGGAATGTTTATGTAGCACCACAGAGTTGGTTGGAAATACTTATCAGATTTTAAATTGAGCTAATTTTTTTTTTTTTTGCCCTCTTAACAGCAGGTTGGATAATGAGGCTTTATAAAAAAAAAAAAAATTAAATATTCTTTTCTCACACCAAAATGTACATTTTGCCTAAAGTCACGCACCGCTGATACGTGTGAAAAATCAAAAATAATGAGGCGTGCTATAATGATAAATGTGTGCATCTGTGGTTATTTTTGGATGAAAGCTAAACTGTAAAAGGCATTTGAAATTTTCTGGTCTCCCCCCCCCCCCCATGACAGGAACACAGGCAGAGCTTTGGCTGCAGTTCAGCTGACCTCATTGCTCTGTGAAAATATCTACCGCTAGATGGCGATAGAGACCACTGCACATCCTGCAGGGCAGTGAGCTCATGGGGTCTCTGTACAGTAAGAGAGGAGCTCTTGTACGACATGGATTTGATGAAGATGAAGCCCAAGAAGTGAAGAAAGGAGAATAGATTTAGTGAAATGAGATCACACCCCACCCATCACGTTTAACGTGTCAGATGATGCTAAAAATGAGCGTGCTGCAGGTAAAATACATATAATAAATATTAAATGATACAGTCTTCACCCAGCTGGCAGCATGGACTCTAACAAAGGCTGAACTTACCAGCAGCTCTTGTGGTCTAATGGAGTTATCTGTGTAGATGCAAAGCTTCTCTGCAGTTAAAGGACGAGTCTCTTTCAACTTGGATGCAAGGAACATGCAGACTGCTCCCAGCAGCTGCAGGTTGCACTTCTTGATGGGTACCACTGCTAAAAATCTGTCTAAGTAGTTCATGGCCAAGGGAAAAACTTCTTCCTCGCACTTCTGTTCCTCACAAACCTGGATAAAGGAGACACAAAGCAGCAGTGAGGAAGGGTTTGCAGCCCCGCGGTCACGTGACCCCTTATTTATTTATTTATTTATTTTAGGACCTCTGGATGCATAGAAAACTTTTATGGTGCAACGAAACAAAAGACTTGATCCCTAAAGGAGCACATATAATTTCGGTGACACACATAGTTGGGGCCCAGCCAAGGATTTGGCCCAACCCAAACCGGTTGCGACATCAAACATTAATTTAAAATCAATTTCTTTACAGAGAACCAGACAAACAGACACATATGCTAAGAACAGAGTTACATTCCTGCAATTCATTCACCACGAAACGAATTCATGTCACCATCAGCCGAGCCAAAAAAAAAAAAAAAACTCCGCGACAGCGCAGCACACGGAAACACGCTTTTTCTTCCGTCGTCATATTTTCATAAAATATTTAAAAATATAAATAAATTACGCAGACTCGTTTTCTTCACCTGATAATGTTCAGAAACGTCTTCCACATCATAACCGACAATTCCCGTGCACGTGCACGAGGCAGAAACGAGATAAAAACGATCAAATTAGAGGAGAGTGCCGACTCGTCGCTCCGACGTGCGTCACCGCCGTCCCGATATAATAATTTCAAAAATTAATTTAAAATCCCCAGCGCGTCGGATTCTAACAATAATTACATGGAAATAAAGCTCAAAGGGTCGGGGTTGTTTACATATGGGTCTTGTTTACAAATATCCCACCCCGTCAACAAAAACGAGCATAATTCCGGAGTGAGTCACCGACGGAAGGAAGAGCTGACGGACTCAGGCCCTCACCCCTTCCTACTCTTCAAACTGATACATCAAATGTTTGCAGCACCTTTTGAGCCCACTTCAATATTTTATGGACACATAAGACCCTCATCTGTCATTCCCGACGGGGCTCAAATGCTGTTATTGCGTTTCTGGCACAACCCCCCCCTCCTCAAAAAAAAAAAAAAAAGCAACAAGCGCTCTTAGGAAAAACCAACATGGCGATAGGCAGCAGCAGCAGCAGCAGGCAGCGTCGCATTGAGTGCATACGTGTGCATGGAAATATTCACCAGATCTAAAATAATACCATTAAAGAAACCATGAAGGAGCTCGTGCACAAGTCGCACGAGGCACCCAGAAGAAATCCTGGCGTGTCACAGATGTTCGAGCTCATGGAAAGGAAGCGTCCTCCACGAGCGGACTTTCACAAACACAGTGTAAATGACGGATTTGGAGGATTGCGAAAGGAAAGAGTCAAACATTCAAAAAGTTCAAAGACACTTTTATTCGCGGTTGGAGCAAGGAAAACAAAGAGGCTTTAAAACAAGGAGACTCGTGTTGTATACCTCCAACATCCAGGTCGCGACCATCCTCCTCATAAACGGCTGGATATCCTTCTGAACTCCTTTGAAATAAGAATATTGCGGCAGAAACCTCTCCTCTATCGTCAGCAGGCTCTGCAGGACTCTGTCATCGCACAGGAGGTTCGGATCGGGACGGGCTCGTATGTTGGTGTCCATTTCGAGGCATAGCAGCTCCATGGTGCTGGTGCTTTCGCTTCAAGTAAAAAAAAAAAAAAAAAAAGTCAAAAAGTAGAAATTCTCCCCCCGACGCGTAAAAACAGAGCTGCGGAGCGGAAAGATGGCCGGGAAAGTGTTTTAGAGGCATAAAAGCTGAGACTGCAGGGCTCCGCGAGAGTCGTCCTGCCTCTCCTGGTGAGAACTTTTTTCCTCTCTCTCCCCTCAGTGCGCCTCGATTTCATCCGCCTTGCGCGCTTCAAGCCTGCTCTGCATGCGCCACTGACGCAATGCGCTTCATTAGCTGTGAGCCAGACGCAACACTCCC